TTAATGATTTTAATTTTTGCTAAAGAACTGATGACCAGTTCCAGATATTGTAAAAAATAACTGGTCACCAGTTCGTTATGAAAGAGTGGAGTCCGTCATCAATTGAGAAAAAATCCCTAAATTAGAACATCCCTAAATCAAAATCCCTAACCTGGATTAATTTTCGTTTTATTATCCACAAATGTGGATTCGATTCAGGGATGCATTCTGGGTACCAGATTTAGGGTAAAGGATAACATACCAGAAAAATGCATTTCACGTGAACAAGTCGATTTTGTTTTAGAATCTAATTCATCAAAGAAAATAGGGAAACAATCAAATGCATAGGGTAATGAATAAACGCGAATCCAAATAGATTTTATCCAACGTCTCCAATGACATCGAATAAACCATTGATGATATTCGATCCAAAACGGCGTACGATATGTTTCAAGGAATTGATCAATTTTTTCTTCATCAGTTTGTTTATTAATCGAGCGACCAAGTTCTAAACTGATCATAAATTGTAAAACGTTTAGTTTAGGTAAATAATTAATAATCATTTGTTTCCATTGATGTCCATCGATATTGAGAGACAATATTTCAACTTTTAAATGAGCAACATGAGGTAATAATTGAAATAGATTAGTCATTAAACGTTGTGATCTTACTTCAGTTATAACAAGTTTTTTAATCGATAGATTCTGAGATGATGGTATAAATTCACGAAAAAGAGGAAGATCATCTTCTTCATAGGTACTTAATGATGTTGAGAAATTTTTTAAGTGAGGTGTCTTTTCGAAGAAATCAAGAAATTTATATGAACACCAATAAGCCTCACAACAAATAGTTAAATAATGCAAAGATCTTGATACAACAGTAGAAATAGAAAAATCATAATTAGCTGCAAAACTGCAATCCCAATATAAATGAGTTAATTTTGGTAGATTCCAAATTTGATTAATAACATTGTGACAATCTTCTTTGCTGCCGTCAAACGACAAATTTCAGATGAGTTAACCGATCTAGACGATATAAGTTGGAAAAAAACGATTGATTAATCTTTCGATCTGAACTAACATGGTAAAATGTTAGAGAACGAAGATTATAAAATTGACCTAATGTGAAACCAGCTGATAGAAAATGAGTACATTGATATGGTGTGTCCTCATCGTCGGAGATTCGTAGATAAATTGTACGATTTAATATGGATGAAAGATATGTTTGACAGAAAATATCAAAATCCTTTTTTAATATTGAACGTAAATCGACATGATAATTTCGAAAATAGATAAATAATAGAGAATTAAAACGAGTATTAAGATCATGAAGAGCACGAAAAAGATCAATTGCATTGAATAATTCGAATAAATCAAGAAATAATTCATCGGATAATGATTCGAGCGTTGTCTTATTCATTGTCATTATTTCGTTAAAATTTAAAAAAAAATATTCAATGTTATACAACACAATTCATTCGAAGATGTAAAATCATCGAATATACCCAAGCAGTCAAAAATAAGAAATTAACACTTTATAACAGCTACTTTCTGTTTTTCTTTCAACATGTTGTACATTTCAACAAATGTCCGAATTTTCGTGTTTTAACAGTTTATATAATTTTGACTTTAACATCGTTAGAACGACTGGAAAGAGAAATATTTAAACAGGTTAATAAAATAACTACATTAAAACGCACAAATTTGGACATTTGTTGAAGTGTACAACACGTTCCAAGGAAACATTTTAACGACTTCATGAAAATGTCTGTTTAATGGATTTTCAAGTTATATATTGTGATGAAAAGCATTGTATTGTAAGTAATTAAGAAAAGATTAGATATATTCGGATCGAATTAAAGTTGTTACCATCAAACTAACAAATAAAAAAATATAGGCTGTTTTTGATATGTACCGATCGAGACTGAGATATTCAATTTTCAAGGAATGTTTAGAGTATGTTCGGTACTGACAATTTAAACCGTCCACAGAAATTATTTGTCATGCTAATTGGATAGAACACGACGAGTTGCATCAGAAAAAGTATACTTCAAAATTTAAAAAACTAACGTTACGAAAAAAAATTCACGATGCTATTATTCCAAATATAAGGGGAGAAAAAGATTCAAAATTCTGATTTTCCTAATATTGTTTTTTAAAATTTGAAACATATTTTTATCAGATAGTTCAACGATGCATATCCAAGCAACACGACAAAAGAAAAGTATGCTGAAGTTTAGAATTATGGACACCATACACACACTAAACATATCTTAAAAGTCAAATATCTCGGTCTCGATCCATGCATGTCAAGGGCAGCCCATATTATATATTTGTTAGCTTGATCGGGAGAGCTTTAATTCGATCTGAATATATCTAATCTGTTAACTTACAATACAAAACTTTCTATATAACGACGGAAGTATTCAAACACACCGTATAGACATCAGACTTTATAGTTATAAGATATTGTTAAGAACATATGAATATATTTCGTATATTCTTGTAATGATGAAAGAAAAATTTGTTATTTTTTCCTAAAATATTTAGTTTTAATTCCTTTTACTCTGTTGACAATTTCTCAGATGAGCTATATTAATTAATATTTTACCGATTTCTCATTTTACATACGACCAAGTGTACAGTAAATAGAAATGACTAAAATTGATGAAATCTGATTTATTTTCAATTTTGCAAAAAATATTCACATAGATTAAAATTCAATACTACAAACAAGTAACAAATTTACTTTCCACTTACTTAAAATATATTCACATGTTTTTTCGGCAAGTTCTTATAATCAAAAGCGCATGAGATATACGAAATGTTTGAATATTACAGAAAGATGGAATTCACAAACATTGCTTCAAACTATCACTTCTGATTTTCGTATCAAAAAGAATTTATTTTCGGTTTCCAAATAAAAAAAAATCTTTCTTAACTACTACAATTGTTCTGATTATCATGGACTAAAATTGTCGTGATTTTTCACTACTGTTTTATGAGCATCAGATTTTACATCCTCATAGAAAAATGAAACGAAGTCAAGTTCAATGATTATGACGACTAACTAATCGTCCATTACTCTCATTTTATTACTCATCAATGTCTTTTAAATAGTAGAGATGAAATGCTTGAAGAAATATATGAGCAATTCTATCTGTTTAAGAACTTTGTTATTGAAGAGTGAAAGATATCAATGGTTTTAAGTTTCTACTATCAAGAGAAATTAAAGCAATTAAGATCTGTTTTATTTGAAAATCGAAAATAGCTTAATTTTTGTGTGGAAGTCAAAAGTGTATCTATTGCACTATTTGTGAACTCTTTTATCATGAATAAAAACTCGAAACTCATCTCTTGTTAGAAAAAAAACTAACTCATTTGGATAAGGGTTACGCACAGAATTTTATTTATTTTCTATTATCACTTAGAATGATAATCTATGAAATATAATAGATAAATGAATGAATGAATGGCTGTCGCTTTCCGATTGCAATATACGAGACAATGAAAGAAGGAAAGAAGGAAAGAAAGAACAGTGGAGACAATGATCGATGGTGACTAATAGAAACACATGTATGATTAAATGGCGTCTATTGGTGCCATTGAATAAAGATATATTTTCTTAAATATCGTGTGAAATAGAAGATTGAAATATCTGCAATTTCTAGAATCATTTCAATTAAAATATTTTTTTCTTAGCACGATTCTAACGGGTGGCGCAGAAGAAATTGCCGGCTTTTGATAGGCTGTTTTTTAAAGTTAGACTGTATGAGAAAATTTCGTTCTGATGTCAAAAGATAGAGAATTTTGTGTAGATTTTATTGATATGGTCTTTGCAAAATTAGCATTTGTTCTTCTCTTGTAGTATTAAAGGTACTGAATACCATAAAAATAGAGTTTGCTCAGTATTTTACGGGAATAAAGTGTTTGTTTTCTTTGTTAGGTGGCTTTTCATACACTATTCAAAAGCAGTATTATAAAATACAGAGATGTATCTGTTTTTGAGACCCAATACCAAAGCTGCGGATGAAATTTTGTCATTCGAAAAACAGCTTGCAAAAAATGTCTTATTGCCCGTTTTTAATGCTTTGTTGTGTCAGGCAAAAGATTTTAGTCTCATTATTAGGTTACAAAAGGAATTCAGCTCTGATAATGAAGAGCATTTTGTAGAGCTTGAAATTCTGCATCTGTTGATGTAAAAAGAGTAGTTCTTGTAAAACCAAGTTTTGAGAAAATTGGTAACAAGAAGTACGATTCTTTTGGCCGAGGATATTTTCTTGATGTTTTGTGTTTTTTGAAGCAGAAACAATTAAGCTTAAAAAAAATCAAAATACTACTAGATACAAGGAAAAACTCTGTATCGCTTAGCAGCAAGAAGAAATTTTTGAACCATAGTTAACCATACAAAAATTTAAGTTCAAAAGTGCCTCACTTTGTAGTTGAGCAAATGATGTTTTTGTAGTATCCCATACCTTTAATATTACAAGAGAAGAACCAATGCTAATTTTACAAAGAACATATCAATACAATCTACACGAAATTCTCTATCTTTTGACATCAGAACGAAATCTTGTCATACAGTCTAACTTTAAAAAACAGCTTATCAAAAGCCGGCAATTTCTTCTGCGTCACCCGTTATTTGCATTACTCTGTTATATCTCAATTCGTTTAGATTTTATTTTATTAGCTTGTGATTGATAATTCATTCATATATCGTAAATTAAAGAAACAGTAGTTCTGCATCATATTTCCTATTTAATTCGTTTTCGAATATATCTACTATAGTGGCGCTTTCGCTCCGATCACACCGACTAATTCAAAGTGAATTAAAACAGAATTAACGAATAAATCATCTTAAAAAGATGATTTATGTCGGAATAGACCAATTTCGTTGCTTTATTTTTTTCAATGTGATTGAGACCTTTTTCAAATATTTTTTAAAATAAACTATCATATGTCTTATACATCCTAACACTTAAAAAGAAATGTCAGCCTGCAATTTTTTCTGCTTATCTTATACTATATATCTCTTTATTTCGTAAATTTTTTCTACTTTGAAATAATACAATACAAAGACTATTCTATTTCCAATGATTACTTTTATGTAACAGCATCCATAAAATTTCCACGTTCAATGCGTTACAACAATATTTTGCCGTTTATCTGTCTGCATGGGTATGAGTTATAACAAGCGACTATTCTTATATATCATTCTACGTGCTTCAATTCGTTAAAATGAATCAATGTCCATGTTAAAATGCATTCATTTGCCTAATTTATCTATTGCGTGCGTTAAAACATACTCATTGACCTAATATTTTCGTTACATTCATTAAAATGCGTTCTTGACAAAAAAAGCCCGTTTACACTCATTGATTTCTTTTATTTGTCGAGTGAAAGACTTTTAAAGCGTTGTTTTGTTCGATTTTCATCATCAATGCGTCAAAACAACGTTTTGCCATTTATCTGTCTGCGTTGGTTACGTTATGAAATTCGAGTACTGAAATAATAATAAGACATCGAGAAGTTAAAAAATAAAGTTTTCTCTTGAAAATTAAACGTAGAGTTTTCAGATGAATAATTTTATAAATGAAGACTTCCTCGATTATACTCTCATTATCTTGTAAAAACAACCATTTTGGTTGGTGAAATTAAACTTGACATTTGATATCATGAAATTCTTGCAAAAATAAACTTTATCTCAAAGTCAAAAAGACAGAGTGTGGGTGTCTTTGAAAGATATCAATGGATCCACACCCACAGTTAAATTTCAAACTCGAGCTTATAAAATAAAGTTCTTTAAACTGTACAGAATTTGAACGCGGGGTGTGGGTATGGGTGCCAGTCGAAAGAAAACATTCACACCCACACCCCACTCTTGGCTGAAGGAAGGGTCATATGAAATAAAATGAGTTTGCTTGATTGCTTGCTTGTATGTTTGCATACGCATGTATGGTCACGGTCCGTATGAAATTTCAGGAGGTAGAAAAATTTTATTATGTTTGACCAAAGGTAATCGGGATCCGGAAATTCACATATGGAATTGCTTTCGCGAAATTCTTAAACGAGTGCCCACAAGAGAACCTACCAAGTCGCCCGCCACTAACATTTGCTTTTCGGTTTAATTGTCTCAAACGATAGATCATCATTAGAATACTTCAAATCCAAAATATCAGCTCTTTTTGGCTTTCGTGTGAAAAATGCCAACGCATACAAGTAACACACCCTCAGCAGTTGGCCAAAAAAATCGCTGTTTTTCAGTGCTCCTAGTATTATACACTTTTCTCAGCATCTGAACATTTTTGCGAGTTCGCGGATGTCTCAAAAGATTCAGAAGTGTTTTCTTTACAAAATTCGGTAATTCAGCATGTTCTACAATACCATTAGCCAAGTGATAATCTCCATATACGAGTAAAA